AGCTACCGTCCATTCCGTAACAGCTCTTAAGCAACTCTTTTGCAGCAAATTGACGGTTGGGCGTCGAGGGCGGCTAAGCATCTGGAGTTTCATTAATTTCAGTTAAAACAAAGTTAAGTTGAGTTACATTGAACTCTTGTAGGACTCTGCGACTGTTACAATGAAATGGTTATTATTTTGACAACCCGATTAATACACCCCAAACCGAACATTTCTTTGACATTACAACGGCTGCATCGATATCGTATTAATAATGAAAATAATAAACACTGTCAAATATATAATCACGACATGTGAAGTTTCCTATTTGCTTAAATGGCTAAAAGCAATTGTGATAGTTGAAAAAGATAAAATGCATTTTATTTTGTTATAAAACAATGACCTAGTAGAATAAAAGGCATAGGACACTATAGGCATAACGCAACCTTCATTAGATAAAAGTCCAAGTTGACCTCCAGACAGAGCAGACTGTCACCGTTACACAACAAAAGAAACCAGTATGATATTATAACAATATAATAACAGCCCTATCCGACGAAAAGGCGAAAGGTAGACGAGACGGGTCGTTTTTTAGATCCAATGGTAACAAGAAACGCGGTGGTGTATCTATAATTTGCTCAAGCATGCCTAGTAAGCATTACTTACGGCAGGCAACTTGTAATTTCTTTTGAAGAAATCGGTGAGCTGGCGGCGTGGCTTGGCTTCAATCGATGCTGTAGCCTGCAATTAGGTTATTAAATGCGAGGGGTGCGGGGGGCAGGGGGGCCACAGATAATGGGCGCGCTCTACAGACTATAGCAGGAATTATGATTTATCGGTAACGGAAATGCGCTAGTATTGCCGCGTCGAGCATGCACGGCCGTAATGCTCCCTCACGTTTTTGGCGGGAGTCACCGAAAATTATTTCGGAACCTATATAAATGCAAAATCAAGTACAACCACAGTTAAAAGAAGGACTTATTCCATTCGAATTTAAATGATTCCTTTACGTATGTTGTTAGTATTTATAAACGTAAACTTTATTTAATGTCTTGAAATGTGTATTTGATATTAGAACACAATGTGCCTATGTATTAGATGTTAAATGAGTTGTTTTTCAGTTAGTTATTTTTCATTGTGAAAAATTATAAAATGAGGAGGCAATTCTGTTGTTAAGTGAAGGCCACCGCCCATGGACATCTACATCACTTGAGGGCTTGCAGATGTGATGACAACTTTACAAAGTGGGGTACAGGGTACCTCACTCACCAGATAAAACGCACAAGTATGATAGTTCCACGCTAGTCATCTGTGTGGCCGTATTACTACTCCGGACGAGCCTGCCCATTCGTAATGTGTTAGAAATAAGTTACAAAAATGGCTTTTACCAATTTATACAACTATAAATGAATAATAAGTCAATGATTGGATAACATTAATACTTAGCTTTTCCAGCAGAGCAACAGCCTTAAATTCCAATAACCAAAAATTAACCCGCCTGCGTTGTATGAGTCGAATTTAAACTCCTCAAAAACAAATACCAACGACCCCCCTCTAGGGTGTAGGAAATATCACGATGCATTTGTGAGCCCTCGGGTGTTGCAGGTGTCCATGGGCGGCGGTGATCACTTACCATCAGGTGAGGCCACTGCTCGTTTGCCCCTTTTCTCCATAAAAAAAACGCAATAGTTGTCAAACCAACAACTTTTGAATAAATCACAACAAATTGTACTAATAAATAATTGATAAATTATTAATTTGAAAAATTATGTACAATAATTATAAAAAATAATGAATTGACATTAGTTTATTTTTTAACACTTAAATTGACATGACATTGGTTAATTACTTACAGAACGCGGTATGTAATGATTTACGATTGTTGTAACTCAGACAGCGGCTCAGGAAGAATAATAATTACGTAAAAAGCGCAATGTCAAGATATGACCATCTTTCATAGGCAGTCGCGTGTCGCCTAACAATACAGTGTCAGATGATAAGAAAACAATTTTTTTTAATCTTTATTGAAAACAGATGAAAGAAACGGGGTTAGCAGAGAAAAAATTTTAATCAAAACCATAACTTGAATTATGCAGGAAGTCGCTGGAGCTTAAACGATATGAATGGAATTTTTAATGAAGACATTTTTCGCAACTTATGTAGTAGATCATAAATTAATTAATTTTTATTCTGCACGATGTTAAAATAATAGTTTCTACTATCTTTGTGAACTTCAATTAAATATGATTCAAACGTATTTACGTATTTTATCGTGGTTTATTTTAATTTTAATCTCCGCTTTCAAATACCTTACCTTACCATGGTCACGGGCTGGACTTAGGATGTTTAACGTTCTGATGTCACTGTTAACTCAGGTTACTGTCTGTTGGAAAAGTATTACTTTTGCAACAATCGCAAAGCTAGGGCTTGGGAATTTTACTATATATGAGCTATTTTGTGTGAGAGAGACGGTACGGACGGAGAAATACCGATTATAGAAAAATTATATAAGATGATATGCGAGATTATAAATACTAATACTTTACGCGCTTTTCTTTAATCCTGTGACAATTCCCCAGACAAACCTGTAACAGCAGATTGCCACAGTCAAAGTCTAGAACGTCAACTGCTCATTTAGAGTTGTGCCACTGTATTTATGTATACTGTGGCGGGTAAGCGTATAGCGGCGGTAGCGTGACGCCGAAACAACGCTAATAACAATATCATCGGGGGCGCACTCACGCGCGGTTACCTGCCAATTAACGCGCGGGCCCGTCCGCTTTTATATCCCCGAATCGCCCGCCATTAGACGGCCGGTATGATTCGTGCGGTGAATTCGGCCCGTCGACTTCTGCCTTCTCGTTATGAGTTATGACGTTCCGGAACGTTCGGCCAACTTCGGCGGGCGGAGTTCGGCTCGTGTCGATTACGTCGCGCGATTGTGATGCTAATGGCTTTTGAGTTAAGTGCGATACTGCCGTGTCACTTGTCTGGTAATGATGTAAAAGAAACTGATGGGCAAAGCCCTTGTCTGTAGAGAGGGTGTTATTGCATAGTCCAGCACGCGACCCCACTGCGGATTGGCAGACTTCATATATTTTCGATATTTTTTTGTTATTATTTTGAAAATCTGAACTATAATTCCTCACGATGTTTTCCTTCGCCGCCGAGCGCGTGATAAGTTAGCCCTTAAAATTAACAATTTCAGTGGTGCCGGCACCGGGATCGAACTCAGATTGCTCGACTGTATTGAATTAAAAGCGAGCGCCCGGACAATGAGCTATCACGGCTCATTATTGCTGTATCACTTGCATATTATTTTTAACCGACTTCAAAAAAGAAGGAGGTTTCTCAATTCGAACGTATATATTTTTATTTTTTTTATGTGTGTTCGCGGATAACTTCGTCGTTCATGGGCCGATTTTGATGATTCTTTTTTTTTGGAAAAGGGATATCCCAAGGGTGGCACCCCAGAGAAATCGAGGGCAATGTTATAGGTATTAACAATGTTTATTATTAATTTACGGATTGAAGTCAGTATTTTTTGTTAAAATTATACTTGTTCTACATTTCGATATTGTTGTATCAAATTGTGTAAAGCCTGGCAGTTTGTACTATTTATTGCTCAAATGCCGCTCGTCCGGGGAAGTACCGCGGTCTCGCTGATGACGTGAAGCGGATTTATTTTGATTTTGCGTTTCGTTTGTGAGTGAGTGAGGTAAGGACCATTTAAGGCTCGGGATGTTTTGGAAGGGTTGTGCATCTGCGATCCCACAAGTGTGGCAGATGTATATGGTTGCGTGGGTCTGTTGTAACATATTGCGCCGTAAATCGTGTCCTTTTCACCTTTAAATTGTGGTGTGGCTAATTTAAATCGTACGTTTAAATTACAAAACATGTATTTCTTTCGGTAGTTTTTAATTTAATATCCTTGACAAATATACTATCGAAACGTCACTTTACTTTGATTGATGTTTTTGCTTTTGCATTTCAGTCTGTAGATAGGAAAGCTTCGTCGAACGCAGAACTCGTGAGACAACCAGGTCTCTCCAGCTTGATAGTGGACATCTGTTTTACTAGGCTAGTAAGATAACTCCTAAGCCCCTACGAGATACACATTTTGCATTTATGATTCATTATTATTGTGGTCTGTTTATTTATCCAACATTTACAACATTAAATCTAACTAAATTACATATTATCTAATATACCTAATCCACGCGGCATGGTGCCAAGAACGCTAGCTGCATTTCCTCGCTGAATAGTTATGCTTAACCTTTGAGGCGGCATGAATGAATTATTTAAACATTTTGCATTGCATGATGTATCAGGTTCAAGTATTATTTTCAACTTCACGACCATTACGGACAAAAGACGTCACATTAACATGTGACACGAATGAGTTTTGCTCCTACCTAAAATCGCATTACTTCATTAGCCGCGGCAAAATTTTTTTTTTCTTTATATAACCTGCTACTTAGCAATCTGTTTCTTCCAAACAATAATCTAATAAGCTGTCAGATTTTCATCAGTGAATGTATATCAAGCTGTGACATGCACCCAGTGGTGCAGTCCTCATTTTTTGTCTGCGAATCTTGTCGCTAGTCCTGGTATACTGTTTCTCTTAAGACGGGAGAATCTTAGGCTGTCCACTCCTTTTAGTTTGGCAGCCAACTCGTTGATATGTTGGTCCAATTTGGCTTGTTAATTTTTGCTATTTAACTCAATTTCTTCCTTCACAGTTCGCAGATTGAAATCTAGGTTCACATACTTTCTAGGTTTACATCACTTTTTTTTTCGGCGGTAGGTGTAAAAAAGTATAGACGTAAATTTAAACAGCTCTTTGTATTTTATTTCAAATATATACAAATTTCGGCTCTTTTGGACTCAAAATACAGTGTTCTGTTGTTAATTAAGTGCTACTTACAATATAAACACATTTTATGTAACTTGGTCTATATATATTCACCACCTGCCAGCCTTTTACCTACACAGTATAACAGTTATATCACTACAACAATATGTCCAACTTGTCAGATATTATCACCACACAAAACAGGCTTGAAGAAAACATCTCTAAAAGATTTGATGAACTCCAAGCTCAGATAACAAATGCTGGATCATCAAAAGACACCGTTGCAAAAGTTGGTGAAGAACTCCGGAGCTTCAGGGAGATCATTTTTGGTATCCTTAGTCTTCTCCGGAAACAAATAAGGGAATGTGCCATTCAAGTCGATGAACTTGAGTCAAGGAACCGCAGGAAGGCCCTCATTGTGGCTGGTGTACCCGAAAAGGATAAGGAAGACTGCACCCAGATGATTCTTGAGGTCCTTAATAACAAAATGGGCCTTAGTGACATAACTAAGTCTTCCATAAAAGTGTGTCACAGACTTGGAGCACCTAATAAGGAGCATCACAGACCCATCCTTGTAAGGTTCATCAGCGTTGACACCAAATTGATGGTATGGAAGACTAAGACCAAACTGAAGGGTTCTTCTGTATCTCTGAAGGAGTTCCTTACGAAGACTAGGCAAGCTGTGTTCACTAAATCGCGTCTCCATTTTGGAATGCGTTCTGTTTGGACACAAAGTGGCATTATAGTCATTAAAACACCAAGTGGAGTCACTCATAGAATCACTACAGATGAGGAATTGGGACCTCTCATCGCCAAGTATCCAAAGGCAGCAGGGAAGTCCTCGACTGTATAGTGTATTGATCCTTCACTAATATTAAGTTTAAGTATTATTTTTCTTTTTTTACTTATTTTTTTTCTTTTCTCGCAATCTGTCTATTGTTATTACTTGTTCTTGTGATGTTTTTCGTATTGTTTACTTTATTACATGTAAACATTTATTTCTCTCCATGTATACTGCAGATGTATTGTATGATTTGCACTCCGATGTTCAATAGTTTTTTGTTCTGTCCGTCCTCCTTTGATGTTCAAATTAAATCTTAGAATTTAGCTTTATATAATCATACTTTCCCTAATTGTACAAAAATGTTATATTATTGTTGTTTATAATCGTAATCAAATAACTTATGCATATACCTCTTTGACATATGACGTTTGCAACGAAATGTCAAGACAGATTGAGATGAGAACGTTCCGTTTCAACATGTACCTATGTGATTTATTCTACTTCTTTTTTTCTTTTAATTATTTTTAATATTTTTGTGGCCTAGACCTACGTCTTCTTAGTAAGTTTTTTGTTAATGTTTTATTTGTTTTGGACTCCTAAGTTAAAATTTGATTCTTGTTATTTCTGATTGTTTGTTAATTTATATATATTTTTTTTTTTTTAGTTCATATCATTTCACAAATGTGTCGTGCTGGCGGGTGGTGCAGAAGGTTGTCCTGCTCCATCCATAATAACCTCACTTTTATTATTATTATTTTTATATAGATTTATATTTATTTACATATTTTTATATATATTTTTAATTATGTCCATTAGCGATAATGATTCTTACTTATCTGCCAACGAATCTGCCAATTCTTCAGACGACAGTTTTTGCTCATTAAGCGACTCACTTGGAGACTTTTTAAGACATAATTTTTCTATTAACAGTAAGCTCCTGAACATTTGTCATCTAAATGCACAAAGTATTCCTAGCCACTACAGCGACTTGTGTGACACGTTCTCCAACTCTAACGTACATGCTGTCTTGATTTCTGAGAGCTGGCTCAAACCCCATCTGCTCTCCACTATGTTCTCTCTACCAGGTTTTATTTTAATCAGAAACGATCGTATAGGTAAAGGAGGTGGGGGCGTCGCGATATACCTTAGACATGATCTCCCATATAAGATTCTGGCCTCCTCCTCTGAGAATTACTCTGCCACTGCTGAATACCTTTTTCTAGAAGTATCTGTTAAAGGTTGCAAGATAGTTATTGGCGTTGTGTACTGTCCACCTAACATCGACTATTTCACCGACTTCGAACCGGTTCTAGAATCTTTGGGTTCGGAGTATGCCCACCACGTTGTCATGGGTGATTTTAACACCAATCTCCTATCACCTGATTCTTCCCGAACCCGCAAACTCCTACGAATAGTTGAGTCGAGCTGTTTTCATATCTTACCTCTCCAGGCCACCCACCATAACCTCTCCGATGAAGACACTTGGCTTGACTTAATCCTTACTTCCAATCCATCCATGATCTCCTCTCACGGACAATACCTGGCTCCTGGATTTTCTCACCACGATTGTATATATTTATCCTACATCCTGAAGCCTCCTAAACCTAAGCCCAAAGTTCTGCACGTGCGTTCTTTCGCTAGATTAAATGTAGAACAACTGTGCAAGGATGCAGCTCAAATCGAGTGGAAGCCTGTGATGGAGGCAAACACTATAGATGATAAGGTTAATATATTTAACGGTCTAGTTACAGAATTGTATGACGTCCACGCCCCCGTCAAGGAAGTTAAGCTGAAGCGTCATTCGACTCCTTGGATGACCGAAGGAGTTCGGATGGCTATGAGGCGGAGGGATCGTGCCTTTCGTAAATTTAAAAAGAACCGTTCTGACGAGAATTGGTCCTGCTACAAATTGGCTAGGAATCGGTGTAATCAGATGGTACGTAACGCTAAACGCCGTCATATTCTCGACAACATATCTTCGTCTTCTCCTGCTGATACCTGGAAATTCCTCGGGACTCTCGGTATTGGCAAGTCGCGAATCTCAAACCTGCCTACTTCCATCGCCTTAGATGATTTAAACAAACATTTCATCACTACTTCTGTAATGGATCATCAGACGATTATTGAAACTATTTCTTATTTAAATGGTTTGTCGCGCTCTAGTATTAATCTGTTTCACTTCTCTCCAGTATCTTCTGACGAAACCAAAAAAAATATCCTTGCTATTAAGTCCAATGCAGTTGGATTTGATAAAATCAGCCGACGTATGATTATTCCCATCCTTGATTACCTTCTTCCTGTGATTACCCATATCCTTAATTTTTCCTTGGATACTGGTTCTTTTCCCTCCCAATGGCGGAAAGCTCTGGTCCGTCCTCTTCCAAAGTGCCCAAATCCTTCACTTCCTGCCCATTATAGACCAATTTGTATCCTGCCCTTCCTTTCCAAGGTACTTGAGTCCTGCGTCCTTAAACAACTTTCTGATTTTGTTTTTACTAATAACCTTATTAGTCCACTCCAATCTGGATTTAGGCCAGGACGTAGTACCACCACCGCACTGCTAAAAGTGACTGGCGATATAAGGGCAGCCATGGATAATACCAAAATCACAGTCATGGCCTTAATTGACTTTTCAAACGCCTTTAATACCGTCAGTCATGACATTCCTTTAGCCATCCTTTCCCACATTATGGTTTCTGATGAAGTGCTGGAATGGTTCACATCCTATCTTCGAGGGCGCCAACAGTCAATTAATGTCGGTGAATTGTCATCAAACTGGCTTAATTTGACGACTGGTGTTCCTCAAGGCGGAATTCTCTCTCCTCTTTTATTCTCTGTTTTCATAAATCTTATTACTCGTCATCTTCAGTGTGCGTACCATCTTTATGCTGACGATTTACAACTGTATGCTCATGCAACCTGTGACAGCCTATCCGTTGTGATCAACAACATCAACCGAGACCTAGATGCTATAAAAAAGTGGTCTGACAGATTCGGATTGACTGTCAATCCTTCGAAGTGTCAGGCAACTCTTGTTGGGAGTTGTCGTATTATAAATCAAGTACATTTAGGCAATCTTCCACCAATAATATTCAACAACTCTACGATCCCCATAAGCCAGAATGTGAAAAACCTTGGTTTGCTTATCGATATGACCCTGAGCTGGAAAGACCAAATCGCCAGTGTCAGTCAGAGGGTCACAAGTGTTCTACGTTGCCTATACAGACTTAAACATTTTTTACCATCTAAAACTAAAGCTACGCTCGTGCAGTCCTTAATCCTTCCTTTAATCGACTATGGCGACGTGTGCTACTTTGACCTGAATGCAGATCACCTCAATAAACTAGACCGTCTTCTGAATAGCTGCATTCGATTCATTTTCAATCTTCGTAAGTATGACCATGTGTCTCACTATCGTTCCCAACTTCAGTGGTTACCCATTCGCCAACGCCGCTCCTTAAGAGCACTAACCACTCTTTATTCTTTTTTAAATTCTTCTTCTACTCCATCTTATTTATCGTCTCATTTTCAATATCTTAGTACAATCCATCATAAAAATCTTCGCTCGACACATAACCATCTTCTCCAATGTCCTTCTCATCGTACTGGTTTCATGCACTCGTCTTTCTTTGTTCAGTCCATTATTTTGTGGAACGCGCTGCCTCTCAAAATCAAGACTGCTAAAAGTCGCTCCGCATTTAAAAGGAAAACTCGCGAGCACTTCCTTAAAAAACTGTCAGCAGATTCTCTGAATCGTTAAATATAATATAAAAAGTTTGTATATATTATATTTATTTATTTATAAAATATGAGTATGTAAGTCTTCGTGTATATGTGTATGCATCGTGCATTAATATGTTTACTTTATTTTATATATATGTATGGTATTGTATAGTTTTATCAGATATTATTAGTGTAGTATTTTGTTGGTAGATTTCATATGTAATGTACATATTGGAAAATCTTTTGATTGGTTTATTTTTTTTTTTTCTGTTGTTGTAAATTTGTTATTAATGCACCTACCCTAACTTTTCTGGACCACCCCAAGGTTGACTGGGAGATAATGCTGATGGCATTAAGTCCGCCTTTGTACACAAATGTTTGTGCAAAAAGTTTAAATAAATAAATAAATAAATATTTATTGCTTATGTGTGGTGGAATGTTGAACATGACTCTCATTGTTTTTCTTTGAAACCGTTCAAGAATTTCGATGTTGCTATGACTCGCTGTGCCCCAGAGCTGGATGGCATAAGTCCATACGGGCTTTAATGTTGCTTTATAGATAGCCATTTTACTAGCATCGGTCAGCTGTGACTTACGACCAATGAGCCAGTACATGTTGCGGAGTTTACAGTCTAGTTGTTTCCTTTTAGTCCATATATGTTTACGCCAAGTAAGTCGGCGGTCTAGATGGATACCTAAGTATTTGGCGTCGTCTGATTGTGGGATTTCTGTATTATAAAGTTTCACAGGTGGACATGTTTTTTTTTCTAAGTGTGAACCGGACCGATTTGTCTGTATTGGCTTTAATACGCCACTGCTGAAACCACGATTCTATGAGAATCAGCTGTGATTGTATAATTTCGGATGCAAAATCGGGATTCTCATGAGTCGAAAGAAGTGCTGTATCGTCTGCGTATGTCGCTGTGATGGTATTGGAATAAATGGGTAGATCTGCTGTAAATATTAAGTAGAGAACTGGTCCCAGTATGCTTCCTTGTGGAACTCCTGACTTGATTTCGTAGAATCGTGATGTGTAAGAGTTGTATCTTACTTCGTAGCATCTATTTTCAAGGTAGGATTTCACCAACAGAAAAAAAGAGTGTGGTAGCATTTTTTTTATTTTAAAGAGCAGCCCATTATGCCATACTTTGTCAAATGCTTGGCTAATGACTAGGAAGACAGCGCAGCAATATTGTTTGTTTTCCAGTGCTCTGCCTATGATATCAACCAACCGATGCACTTGTTCGATGGTTCCGTGGCCCTCTCTAAATCCGAATTGATGTGTTGGTATTATATCTGCTAAATGTTCTTGCATTCTATTCAGTATGATCTTTTCCATTAAA